AATTGATTTTCACCAAATCTCGAACAAAGCTTAAGATAAGTGCAGAGAAAGTGAGGCAATAGTGCAAAATGGAAAGAGCATGGTAAGAGAGAAAGTACTTAGAAGAGTTTAGAGAGGAATCTATTTAGTTTTCAGTATCCTTGACGAATTGTCACACTCACAGCTCTATTTATAAACTAGGAATGAGTCACTACTCGAGCAATATGCATATACTAGGGAGTAATTACTATGAGCAATATGCATGTAATCAGAGAAACATGGTACCCCATTGTGTATAGTGGAGTTATGGGTTTTCTAGATATTCAGGTGACTAATGACATAGTTAAAATGTGTCACTTCCTAAAGAAAAGGGAAAAGCTAGAGCTTTTGAAAAAGATTAAGAAATAAATCTTTTAATTACTTTTAAATATGAACCATTAAGTCAATTTTTTTAAAAAATTTCAAAGATGAAAAGTAATTTATAAACCCTACTTATCCTGATCTTGAATTACTTTTACTATTATCCAAAAACAACATAGCTGCTCTATTCATGTTATTACTCTCATTATACTCTATTTAGTCATATACTTAATGTGAAACAATTTTATATAATATCATAGAAAATTTCGTTAATAGTTAAAATCAAGCATTTACACTCATTTATCTTTTTTGCAGTTTCCACCACCATAAACCTTTAATATTGAGAATGAGTCTTTTCTCTTTTCTGATTAATCCCAATATGAAGATTATATCCTTAGTTATGTAAATTATTGCCAAGGCAATAAATAAAGTAACGATTGCCACATTTATTTTATGGTTAAATATCCAAATAAATCCTTAAATTATATCAAAAAAATTAATTCAGTCCTAATCTTTTTATTATATTCAAATAAATCCATAAACTTTTATTTCAAATCAAATAAGCTATTCTTTTTAATCATAGATTAATGAAAACTTATAACACTTATATACCATGTCATTTGTTATGTGACAAATTAACATGACATTAAATATTACTGCTTAAGATTTGTAAGCTTAGCTTTTTTACCCATACACATTTTCAAAAATAATTTAGTAACGATTTAAGAAAAACCTAATTACTTTCTTCCTAATTGTTAAACAAACATTATCCTTTTAAACAAACTAAATCATCTGATTTAATATTTAAAGAAAACAAACAAATTAAATTCAAAATAATTTAGGATTTTCAACCTTTGACTTCTTGAATTTATATGTTGTTCAATTACCGTCAAATGCTACTTGGAAGCTAAAGAACATATAAAAAGTGAAGATGAAGGGGGAAAGCCATGTCAAGGGAGGTGACTGGGTTGCCATTGGAAATCAAGGTCTGATGCTCTGAGAGACTGCACTTGCCAATGGCTAAATATTGTTAAGCCCCTTAGGAAAAGAAAACTATTTAAAGTGGCGTTAACAATGTTCTTGTTTTCAATGCTTAGTTTTTGCGATTGTAAGCATATCAAAAATCAGGTTTCTTCATAATTTTGTTTGTTGTGGGAATGATGAAAGAAGTTTTAAGTTTGATTTCTTTTGTCCGTTGAGTGCTGCGAAGTGTACCATCGCTGCCATGGTGGCAATAAGACATAGGAAGATTTCAGGAAAGATTTTTGATTCTGTTGATATTTTCGTAGTGTAATATTACAAAAATTCTCTTATTTATGTTAGTTTTATCATGTAACTTGGATTGGAATTTTAAAAATTAATTGATTAGTTCATATTGGGATCAAACTAACTCATCTCTTATAATTTTTTTTTCAAGTTTGGGATCAATCTTAAATTTGATGATTTATTTTGTTAAATACCAAAAGTTTGTCTTGTATTAGGTTATGGCAAAAAGGAATTATATTTTTTTATTTTTTATTTTAAATTTTTAATCAATCATTTTTAAATATGTGTTAAGGTAAAATGATAAATATAAATTCTAATAAATAATATTTATCAAAATTTTACATAAAAATGACGTAATATAAAAATATCATATATATTCTTGATTAATGAAAGTTAATTAATAATTAAAAAATTTTATTTAATTTAAAATAAAAATTTAAAAATTTAATTAAATATAATAAAAAAATTTAAAACTGAAGTAACTTTTCTGACGCAGTTAAAAGTGTTTGTTTGAGTGTTGAACTTATATTTTATTTCTCAAATTAAAATTTAGTACTTCATCAGGGATAAAAATAGGCGGACTTGCAAAATCAGGGTCAGTGATAACACTACACTGGCAAACAAACATCAGCGACTCCAGTACAAATCGATTTGATTTATCGTATATCTGAAAGAACAGAGAAAGCTTGATTAGACCTTTTGTCCGCTCTTTCTGTGAACTCTCAACCTCAAAAACAAATCATTTCTTCATTTCTCTATTGTTTCATCTTCCTCTAGAATCCTTCTGATTTTTCATTAATGGCTACTCAAGGGCAAGTCATCACTTGTAAAGGTAACTCTCTTTCTCCCCTTTATTTTTTGGCTCATTGTTTTGAAACCCTAATAAATTAATTGTGATTGTTTAGCGGCGGTGGCTTATGAACCGAACAAACCGCTGGTCATTGAGGATGTCCAGGTGGCTCCGCCGCAAGCCGGTGAGGTTCGGATCAAGATTCATTTCACTGCTCTGTGCCACACTGATGCGTACACTTGGAGCGGAAAGGTTTTTGTTTTTTTATTTTTCCTTTTTGTATTTTCTATATCTCAGTTGATTTCTTAGTTTTGTTTAAAATCGGGTGCATTGCATTTCTTTGGTGTGGTTTTTTGGTTTGAAAAGTTTTACCCGCATCAGTTGCTTTATCTTAAGGGAAGAAACTGTTGAAGATGGATTGATTTGCGATGAATGAGTAACGGGAATTGGATAACTTTTTTTATGTGGATTCTTTGAGGCTGGGTTTGATTGTTGCTTTTACAGTTTGCATATTACTTTTCTAAGAATTTGTGATGACCAGATAACTATTAATTGATTAAAGATGAACAGATAACTAAAATGAATACCAATTCTAAATTAGTACTTTATATAAAAAAGTATAATCATTACATTTTGTTTTCCAAAAAATTTATATCGGTAATTTTTTTATTCTTAAAAAATATTTATTTGCTTTAGTATCCCAAACTTTTGGAAGATAAAAAAAAAGCGAAAGAAAAAGGTAAAAGCAATGGCCAAACTATTCCTAGGGTAATGTGTTTCTTGCTCAAAATACTATGTGAACTGAATGGTCTCCTTAATCTATTCTTAGGAAGAAAGAAAAAGTGGAAGTTCAATCCAAAATGAAGTATTTTTGCAGACTATTTTCTTGCTTTAAAATGGGAAAGATATGTGCATAATGTTGTGTTATGTTGATTTTGCTAATTTAGGTAATGAGAAATTGGAGTGAGATACTATTGATAGTAATATAATTTGATGTTTCTTGTGTATCCACTTGCTGTGACATTGATAACGCCTAATCTAATGTGGCTCAAGTTTTTTGTCTGTTTTCATAATGTTAATCCAATGTTTAGTTCTGATGTCTAACATGCATGATTTGCCTTTTCAGGATCCTGAGGGTCTATTCCCATGCATTCTTGGTCATGAGGCTGCTGGGTATGTTGTTTCTTATTAGTTCTTATAGTTCATGAGCCTCTTGATTGCTAAAGAGTGAGTTTTGTTTGAATTTTTGAGCGCAGGATTGTAGAAAGTGTTGGTGAAGGTGTAACTGAAGTTCAACCAGGTGACCATGTCATCCCTTGTTACCAGGCAGAGTGTAGAGAATGCAAGTTCTGCAAATCAGGGAAGACAAACCTATGCGGCAAAGTTAGGACAGCCACTGGAGCTGGAGTCATGATGAATGATCGCAAGAGTCGCTTCTCAATAAATGGAAAACCAATATACCACTTCATGGGCACCTCAACATTCAGCCAGTTCACAGTTGTACATGATGTTAGTGTTGCTAAGATTGATCCACAAGCTCCTTTGGACAAAGTATGCCTTCTTGGATGTGGTGTTCCAACTGGTAAGTTTTTACTTTCTTTTAACAAATCTGTAATTCCATATATAATCTTCTAATGGATAGCATGGTAGTTTTTTTATTTGACTGTAATTTATTTGGTTTCATGATTGTGCATACTGCATCTTTTGCACAAACCTTCATATTTATATATAGTTTGTGTTGGATAGGACTTGGAGCAGTTTGGAATACAGCCAAAGTTGAACCAGGGGCTATTGTTGCTATTTTTGGCCTTGGGACTGTTGGTCTTGCAGTAAGTGTCAAAGATGCATCCCACTTATCTAGAAAATTATTTACAGTGTTTATTATGAACTTCTTGGCATGTTTTCATCCATCTTTTCAAAAAGTTTGTTATTGCTTCCATTGTTCTCTTTGTGGTGCTAGATATTAAATTGTTTATGTTACCTATTTTTGAATGCAATGTTGCAGGTTGCAGAGGGTGCAAAATCAGCTGGTGCTTCACGAATAATTGGTGTAGATATTGACAGCAAAAAGTTTGATGTAGGTAAGTAATTTACAAATAATGATGCTTAGAAAGCATATTATTTGTTAAACATAATTATGAAATATCCAGTAAACATTCTGTGTAATGTCAATAATGAAATAAATTTGCAAGAAAATGAGTGGTTTTTCGCTTATCTTTTTTAACAAAAAATCATGTGTTACTTCTATGTGTTTACCTTTTTTAGTAAATTGGAACTTGCAGCAAAAAATTTTGGAGTCACAGAGTTTGTGAACCCAAAGGACTATAATAAAGCAATTCAGCAGGTCCTTGTTGATCTCACGGATGGTGGTGTTGATTACAGTTTTGAGTGTATTGGAAATGTCTCTGTCATGAGGGCTGCTTTGGAATGCTGTCACAAGGTGAGTGGTGCCTGAATTAACAGAGCATTAATGATTGCGTGAATTGTGAATGACATCTAATGCACCTGAACTACTTTCAGGGCTGGGGAACATCAGTTATCATAGGTGTCGCTGCGTCAGGTCAGGAGATATCTACTCGACCTTTCCAATTGGTGACTGGTCGTGTTTGGAAAGGGACTGCTTTTGGTGGTTTCAAGAGCCGTTCACAAGTGCCTTGGCTTGTGGACAAGTACATGAAGAAGGTAAATGTAGTTTGTTTATACATTCTATATTTGAGTCTGTTGTGTGAGCAAGCAGTAGTTTGTTATACACTCCTTGATGTTGCAGGAAATCAAAATTGATGAGTACATTACCCACAATTTGACTCTTGGAGAGATTAACAGTGCATTTGATCTGATGCATGGAGGGGGTTGCCTCCGATGTGTGCTTAAGATGCATGAATGAGGCTATATGTGTGGGCTGAAGGGGTGACCTGTGAAGAACTCCATTACCGGGCAAATACTTTATTGGCATCTTG